GAATCATAGAGTTGGAAGAGACCACAAGGGCCATCCAGTCCAATCCTTCATTTCTTTTGCTTAATCTAAATCTGCCTACTGTTTTTGAGCCTTCTTTGTTTCCAACTTTTGCATTCCAATCTCCAATGATCAGCTTGACATCCTGTGTTGGTGTGCTGTCAATTTCTTCCTATACTCATTCATAGAATCCATCAATTTATTCCTGTCCTGCCCCTGTGGTTGGTTCATTTATTTGAATTATGGTGATATTCATAGGTTTACCATGGAGCTTTACTGAAATGATTTTCCATTGGATCCACTAACTGCTTTTGCCACATCTTTTCTTAGTATGAAAGCTACTCCATTTCTTCTTGTCTTTCATTCCCTGAGTAGAGCACTGTGTAGTTGTCTCATGCAAAGTGACCCATTCCTGTCCATTTTAACTCACTTACCCCTAATACTGCTATGTTCATGTGTTGCATTTCCATATTTACTATGTCTAGCTTCCCTTGGCTCATGCTTCTCACATTCCACATCCCTATTTTATGGGTAATGCTGCTTTTTATTTTTGTTTATTTATCTGCAAATGTGAGAATATTGGGGAATAAATACCCACAAGGTATTTGTGCAGGGAAGGAGAAGTGTATCTTTTTGAAGGGAATACTCTCTGTGTGTGTGTGTGTGTGTGTGTGTTGGGGAGGAGGATATTAGACCTTCCATTATAGAGCACCATTTTTCTTAACAATGCAGTCATACCCATATCTTCTCAGAGAAGATATGGGTATAACTGCATTGTTAAGAAAAATGGTGCTCTATAATGAATAGTCTCAAGCAAATATCATCAAGATCACAACCCATATAACTTCCTAACAAGCCATCAGAATACCTCAGATTCTTCAGGGCAATCCCATTTTTTTCTAGCTATATATTTCAATTAATTCCATTTACTCCCAGGAACATGTTCGACATAATTTCCCCTCACTCCCACCTCCATTTTATCTAAACGATCCTGCCAAGTAGGCTAGACTGAGACTCCATGATTTCCTCAGGTAGAATTGCCAAATAGAAAACTGGAGAGGCTCTTCTGTCTTTAGTGGTTGTGTAGAAGAAGGGCTTTCAGCTGGTGATGCTTCTCCCACAACGAGATAACGAGCAACATGTCCTGAAACTTTCTTTTCTACACAACCATTAATGGTACAAGAGCCATCTCTAGTTATTACTCTAGCAACCTGCAGCCTTTAGTTTCATTTAACTTAATGAAGCAACGTAGTCATAATGAAAAACATGCCAGTTACTTGAATGAGATTTCAGCATCTGGAGGTTCAGGAGTTCTGTGTACTGGAGAACATGCTTAACACTGCCAATGCTTCTACGGCTTTATTACAAGTGATAGGCACTCCATATTACAATGTTTCACTCAACCACTCCATATTGCAATCCAGAAAACATGCAGGGGTAGCTGTGTGGCCACTGAGCAAATTCAAACAAAAATCCACCAAACAGTGATACAATGTTTCAGTCAACCACTTGGATATTAAAAAAGATAATTTGCCTTTTATATACTTTCTCTATTCAAAAAGGAACTGCATGGATACTGATTCATGTAGGTTTCATGTTAATACATTTTCAAAATTGCTGTGAGATAGGGAATTTCCTAAGAGACTCATTCACCAACCTAGATCTTGTGCTGATCAAATTTCAAGGCCACTTTGTTAGCAGATAAACCCACTCAGTTGTGGTTTCAGTACATTTTAAGTAATTCGTTTATGCAAATTTATTTTCTTTGTTTGCTTAAGTGTTCCAAACCAAACCTTTTCATCTGCTAAAGAGTGTAGTACTGGAGAATGGAAAGTATCCTATTACTATTATGTATTTGAGAATTGGTCCCAGAAGCTTGGGTATGGAAGATGTATAAATTCAGCTGCTTTCATCTAGAAGATGTGATTGGTTAGGGAACATTTGTGACTACAAGAACATGCTGGTAAACATACCTTTGCAACCAACTGGTTTCTGAAACAAGATACTGATATGGATTGTTTTTTAAAAGATGATGATGATTATGATACAAAATGTATCAGCTCTGACTAAACAGCCTGGTGAATGGCAGGGAATAGTGGAAGTGATATTTATCATCATCATCATCATCATCATCATCATTTTTTCTCTAGGCAAAGAGTCAGCCAGAGGAGGAATGAGAGAATAGACACAGGTGGGAATAATGCAGACTTCCATTATAACAAGGGAATCTTCAAAGGACTGCAGTTCCTAGTATTCATCACTGGCTCTGTTGACTAGGGATGCTGGAAGCTGCAGTGCAACAACTTATAGAGGACTGCACAATTCCCAACCCAATCTAGAATTATAAGATTTTGAACTAAAAATGTACCCAGAGTCCTAACATACATACACAATTCTCAATTCCATAATATAATCTGTGCAGGAGGGGGGGAAATTGGTGTTGAATCTGCTCTTGGGTTCAGTGTGAACCTCAAAGGAGCCAACCAAGGAGCTGAATTCCTTGCTGATCCACTGCAAATTGCTATCATTAGTTTATAGTAACATTAATATCATTAGTTACTATCATTAGAGATCTATCATTAGTTTGAGATCTACCTCTTGATCTTTTGAAAAAGCCACAATAAGCTGAAGGCAGCTTCTTTGACTGTCCGACCATGGTATAGCAATTGATTTGTATGTGCCATTAGAAGGTTTTGATACTGAAAAATGAATAAATAACCATTTACATGAACTTTGCTCATTTTAGCTTACTCCCTCTCCTCAACAAACTAAGGACACTTGCACAGCAAAAGAATTATAACCTTTCTGCAATCCTTTCACACTACACAATTATTGCACCATAATTCCACTTTAACTGTCATGGTTCCATCCAACAGAATACTGGGGTTTGCATTTTAGGCAGAAGTACTTAGAATTCTAGAGAGCCAGCATGGTGAAGTGGTTTGAGCATTGAACTATGCCCCTAGAGAGCAGGGTTCAAATCCCCACTTGGTCATGGAAACCCACTTGATGACCTTGAGCAAGTCACACTCTCAGCCTCCCAGGGAGGCAAAGACAAACCCCTTCTGAACAATTATTGTCAAGAAAACCCCATGATCTTGCCAAGAAAACTCCTTCGGGTTGCCATAAGTCAGAAACAACTTGAATACACACAGCAACAACATTTAGAGCTTTATCACATGACAAAAGAAAGCTGAGAGGCAGTGAGAGAGAAGCAGCTTTCTCCTTGCCTCTCCACATGCTCTTGTAGCACTTCCATTGCCTTTTGCCAAATAATCGTTTCCAAAATACATGCTTTTATGACCATCTCCCCTGGGAAGAGAATGGACGTGCTTCAACTGCATGCCAAAAGGCAAGGATAAACCCACTTTTTCTTGCTGCCTCTTGATTTTCTTTTTCCATGCACTAAGGCTCTTAGAATTATCAGCCAGATATCTCTAGTGCCTCCCCAAATGACAAACCCCAGGATTCCACAGGATGTAGCCAGGGCTATTCAATCATAGTGTTATAACTGTGTAGTGTGAAAAAGGGTCCCTTGGGAAATTTTCTTATGAACCTTCTTACTTTCATTTTAGATATGAGACACAAACAGGGGTTATATCATAAAAGCCCTTTAAAGCATCTTCTAGGGTTTTCTCCAGTCACTTCACTCCACCGATGAGGTGAGCAATCTAGGGAGATTAGCATTTCTCTTGCCAGAGAATCTTGTTAGTCAGGTACAGAGAGAAATCAGATCCTCAGGATGAAAGCTGCAAACTACAACACAGAACATCTTTCTTCAAACCATTTCCCCTTCATCTTTATTTTCACTGACTCACCAACCATACCAAGCTTATGCCATGAATATAAATCATATCCAGGAGGAATTTCTCTCTCCCTCTCTCCCTTGCCCCTTCTTTCCTTCCCAAAAGAGACATTGAGTGTTGTTTTATTCTTCAAACAATGTGCTGAATATTTTATGAGTAATGAAGCTTAACAAGCTTCTCATGGAAGTGTATATGTGGGGGGGGGGGTATGAAGGAGAATTTGGCTCATTCTGTTTTCTTCCTCATCCTCCCAATTTAACCTGTTCACTTCCCAGCATTTGGGCACATTAGTTTTCTGTCAAAGTAGCTTATCCATGCAAAATCCCCAAACAAAGAGAAAGAGAGAACAAGGAGACCAGAGTGAAATTAAAACTTCAAAGGAATGTTGCTTGAAATGAATGTATTGAGTATGATTTTCACATGAAGATGGATCATAACTGCATTCTCTAAAAGGAAGACACTGTCAGTAGAGATGAAAGGGCCTATCCTGAACCTAACCTAACCTAACCATGTGTAACTACATCCATCATACACCCCT